CCACGCGAACACGGGGGACGACTCCGTCCGCCGCTCCCGGGGCCTGGGGTTCCCGGGCGGCTTGTGGCCCGGGACACGGGCGCCCCCGGCTTTGTCATGGGCCCAGCTGTTGCGGGTGTAGTCCCCACCCCGGCCCTCCAGCAGCATCTGGATGTCGCCTCCCCGCTCCTCGTCCACCGACACCTGCCGGGAGAAGTGGGCCACCTTGTTCCTGGCGGCGGGGGCCGGCGGCGGGGTGGCCGTGGGGCTGGCGGGGAAACTCTGCAGTGGGCTGTCGTCGGGGGTCAGGTCGGAGGGGGTGGTGCCCTTGCGGTACAGCTCAGGGCTCTCCTGCTGCAGGGGCGTCCCCGTGGAGAGCACCTCGATGTCGTCGCAGGACGTCTGCCGCGTCGGCCTCTGGTACTCCAGCCCTTGGTCGTGGAGACAGAGACACAGGTCAGTTAGCCAGGACAGTCTCCAGGCAGGACTGGCGCCCAGATCAGGTGCCAGGCCAAAGGGGCACAGGCAGAAGAAAGTGGGGGTTGGTGACTATAGTTCCCAGAGTCCTTCTGTGGGATTCCCCCAGACTCCACCCCATGGGCCCTTGGAGAATGACAGACCAGTCCCAGGCGGTGACAGAGGTGGTAGATGGGGCAGCTCCCAGCCCTGGTCCCAAGGCTGCAGGAAGACCTGAGTCTTAGAGCGTGTTCGGAGGACACCAGCCTGGCTGGTATGTGGCCTCGGCCCCCGTTCCCCTGACCAGCCCCTCCTGAGGGTGAGAGGAAGCCCCTTGGGCCAGCTGATCTCCCACGGGGCCCTGCAGCCTGGGGGTCGAGGGCATCACAGAGGGTCACCACCCCCCCAGTCCCCAGCCTGGGGTACCTGTGTCCCTGGGTGGTGCAACAGCCCTGCTGAGAAGCAGTCTGTGCCTTCCTGTGGGCCCAGGGCTGGTGTGAGAGCCCAGGAAGGATGTCCCTCCTGCCTCCAGGGCTTCGAGTCTTGGGCTTGGGCTCCCCTTTCCTGCAGGGAGTTCTGGGGAGGGGGGGGCACAGACCTCAGGATCTGGAGGGACAGCTCACAACCAACAGGCAATGTACTTGTGACACCTAACCTGAGGCCTGAACAGGGAGGGAAGCCAGAGGGGACCAGTCACAGAGACATCTTTGAGGTTTCATGAGCCCAGCACGGGCCTGGAACAATGAGATCGCGTTTCTGCCCACGTGGGAACAGAGGCTGGGCTGCATTTTACCCATTTGGATAAAAGAAGAGTATGGCATTTCTCACCCCTTCACAGGAACAGACTGACACGTCTCCGGTGAGTCCTAGGCTGGGCGGCAGGGCGGGGGCCCACTTCCTGTATCCCATGATCCTCCTGAGCCAAACACCACAGAATTCCCTGGCACGTGGGCCATCCCTTGTTCTACCCGGGGGCTGCCACCACACGACCACAGCTCAGATACTAAGGAGTCCGATGCTTGGACACCTTCCCACTCGCACCTGGAGTCTCTGACCTCTGGGCAGGAGAGGGTGGGAGGAAAACAGCTGCCCTTGGGGCCACCAGAAATCCAATGGGCTTGCGGGCCCGGCCCCTCTGCCGTAAAGAGATGAGGGCCAAGCAGGTGTGGTGTGCCATGTCTACATGAGACTCCGCCTTCCCCATCCTTCCTCTGCTAGTCCAAGAGGCAGCATGAGCAGGGCCAGGAATGGCTCTGGGCAGGTGGGCACCCCTGAGGGCCCCCCTCTGTCACACGGGGGTGTGGGCCAGGCTACTTGGAGGTCTCATCCAGTGACTGTGCCTATGGTCACCCCCCAGATGCTGGCTGGGCTGCCGTGTGGTACCCTGCTCACACGGTGGGGGAACAGGCTAGACAGGCTCCCAGCAGAACCGCGCTGACATAATCATGCCTGCCTGACGACCAACCTGGGACCTTCTACCACCCCCGTCTCCCCATGGGAGTCCCGAGTGAAGGGAGCCCTGGCCTATCAGAGGCCCCTGTGATCATGCCCTCAGGCCCCCATCCCACGGGGGTTCAGCAGGACTCGGTTGGGACCAGACATCTGTGGGGCCCATGTGCCTGTGCCTTGGACACCAGGGACCCGAAAAGCCGGGCTCCAAGCCCCATGGTGGCCCTGTGGCCTGCGAGACCATCACCCACTGCAGCCCTGGTCAAGGCCTGGCTGGCCCAGCAGACCTACACCCTGGGGGGGGGCTGGCATCCTCCTGCACCCTGAGTACCACGCTCCCAGCGGGAGGACATGCTCGGCCATGTGCCATTCCTGGAAGCATCCCCAAGGCCGCAAGGCACAGCTGGGGCATCTATGCCCAGTCCTAGCACCCTTGTCCTGCTCTGTGTCCGGGTTCCATGCCTGCACAATCCTCCCACCTCTGGGCTCCAGGGCAAGGGTGCATGTCAGCAGGGGCACGTGGACACCAGACTCGGTCCTGCTCCCACTACCACGTAGCCACGTGGCCTCAGGCGGAATCTCAGCCTCTCCACCTCCCAGGCCCATGGCCAGCAGCTCGCCCACAGCTTGCCCAGCAGACATCTTTGCTGGTCTTTACTGGAGCAGGTGTTGCCCAGCCTCTGGAGCAGGGTACTCAATCTCGATCTTGATTCTGCCATGTTGTGCCCCAGACCTCAGCCAAGTCACTTCCCTCCCAGAGCCTCTGTTATTATTATTTGAGACAGGGTCTTGCTCTGTCACCCAGGTTGGAGTGCAGTGGCATGATCATAGCTCATTGCAGCCTCATTATGACTCCTGGGCTCAGACAATCCTCCTGCCTCAGCTCCTGAGTCACTGGAACTACAGTTCCATACCCGGCTAATTTTTTAATTTCTTTGTAGAGACAAGAATTCTCACTATGATGCCTAGGCTGGTCTCGAACCCCTGGGCTCAAGTGATCCTCCCACCTCGGCCTCCCAAAGTGCTGGGATTACAGACATGAGCCACCATGCCTGGCCAGAGCCTCAGTTGTCTGTCGACGAGGGCCAACAGCTCCAGCTGTGAGGACCGAGTGACGAAGATGCTAGACCCCTCCTCACCCGACCTCCCTTCCACGGCCAAGACTTGGCCACAACCCCTGGTCTGGGAACATTCACCTTCAGTGCATCTTGGGTAGAAACAAGACACGCCTGGACGTCGGAAAGACAGATCCCAGCACAAGGCTAATAAAAGATGCGTGATGTTGGCTCTCCCTACAGGAGAGTGTGAGCAAGGGGGGGCCTAGGAGGCACCCCTCACCTCAGCCAGAGGGGCTCAGGGTGGGCGGGCCAGGGCGTCAGGCTGAGGCATGGTCAGGCCCTTGCGGCCTGGGTCCACACCGGGCGGCGCCTGGTGCACCTGCCACCAGGACAGGGTCTAGAAAAGCAGTTGTGTCCATGACAGCACAAGCCCAGGCCTCTCCTGCAGGAACATGGGCTCTGTTCTGGGGTCAGAGGAGCCAGTGCCAGCGCGTGGGGCTCCTGGAACACACGCCACACCCCAGGGGCTTGAAATGGCCTCAATTCAATGGTCCTCTCACAGTCTGAAGCTGGGCTCCAAAGCCATGGCGTGGGTGGGGCTGGCTCCCTCTGGGATCTCGAAAGATCTACCTGGGCCCCTCTCCAGCCGCTGATGCTTGGTGGCCCCTGACTTGTGACCACACGACTCCAGTCACTACCTTCACCGCCGTGTCTGTGTCTCTTCTACGGACACTTGACCTGGGCTTTGGCCTTCACCTAGCCCAACACCTCATCTCGAGACTCTCTTCACAAGACAAGCGCATGGAGTTTCTAGGCAAGGAGGCTTCCTGGAGAGGCCAGAAGGGAAGCTGGAGGGGCCCAGAGTGGTGCTGGCTGGTGGCTGGTGGCCTCCCACCACCCATCACTCAGGTCATGTCATCGGGTCACAGACCCGACACACACCAGGGCCTGTTGGGCCGGATTCCAGGAGGAAACGCCACACCGGCCACGACCTCCTACCCCGGAAAGGAGGACCAGTGGCCTCCAGAGAACACGGGGAGCCGCCTTTCCAACCCGGCGGGCCCTGGGCACATTTTTTTTTTTTTTTGAGTTGAATTCTTACTCTGTCGCCCAGGCTGGAGTACAGTGGTTGCTCCCGGCCACCATGGCCTCGACTTGCTGGGCTCCAGTGATCCTTCTGCCTCAGCCTTCCAAGTAGCTGGAACTACAGGCACGCGCTACCATGTCCAGCTGATTTTTTGATTTATTGTAGAGATGAGGTCTCACCAAGTTGCCCAGGCGGGTCTCGAACCCGCGGGCTCAGGCAATCCGCTCACCTCAGCCTCCCAAGGCGCGGGATTACAGGCTGAGCCCTGGGCACATTTAACTGTTTCCTCGTTTAGAGAAAAAAAGTGCAGCTCGCAGCTGCGCTCATTTCATTTTACATAAACACACTTTTGAGGCTGAAGCAAATCAACTGGGTTTCAGTGTGAAAATAAAATAAAAAACTGTTCCTGGAGTGATTTCTAAACAGAATGTGTCTCTGGTCCTAATGACAATTACTAGAGAGAATGAGAGAGGGCTATATTTTGTAATTCTCTGTCTTTTTGTTTTGTTTTGCCTCAGGGTAAACACTGCAGCACTGTGGTGAGTGTCTTCCAGTTAAATGTAGATTAGTTAAGAACAAAGACAACTCGAGACACAACTCCTCAGTCATGGAGGCACTTGGCTGCCAAGTTGGACTGAGCAGAGAACCTGCCAGCATGATGGAATGTTCTGGAACACCCAGGGTACATGGGGTGAGGAGCACAGGCCCGGCCGAGCCGGTGGGCACCTACCACTGTGGCTGGCTGGTGAGCAGCACATGGACCACACAGCCATAGGAAGGCTTGTGGGCACCCTGCATATGTCTGGGGAGGCTTCGCGAGACCTGGCACCAACAAGAGACCAGGGGCGGCCCCTGGGTGAAACCATCTGAGCCCAGCCCCAGCCCCAGTCTGGGGACTTTGCCAGGTTGTCCATGCCCCCGTCAAGTTGCTGGTGTCGGCCACAGGACTCACCATTTTCCCTGTGCTGGAAGGAAGGGGAGAACTCTTTGGCAGTGATCCTGGCGATCCGGGCTTCCTCCTGGGCTTTCTGCGCCGCTGTGAGGGCCGCCTCGGCCTTGGCTCGCGAGTGGGAGGTCCTGGGAAGACAGAAGGGCAGGAGGGCGGTGAGATGCATGGGCGGGGCTGAGGCCGAGGCCTTGCGCTGACTGTGCCACAGGCAGGGGTGGGAAGGAGGCCCATGGCCTCTTGTGCCCTTGAACTCAGGGTCTTGCTCATTCATTCAGTCATTCAGCAAACATTGCTGGGCACGAACCAACCTGCCCCGGCATGTGGGGCATGCTGGGAAATGTGCTTGTTCATTTTTTTTTCTTTTTTTGAAGTCGGGGTGTCACTCTGCAAAAGCCTGGTCAAAGACAGTTTTTGTTTGTTTGTTTGTTTGCTTGTTTTTGAGTTGGAGTCTCATTCTCTTGCCCAGGTTGGAGGGCAGTGGCACGCTCGCGGCCACCGCAGCCTTTTCCTGCTGAGCTCAGGTGATTCTCCCACCTCAGCCCCCTGAGTAGCTGGGACTACAGGTGCACACCATCACACTTGGATAACTTTTTGATTTATTGTAGGGATGAGGTCTCGCCAAGTTGTGCAGCCTGGTCTCAAACCCCTGGACTCAGGCAATCCTCTTGCCTCAGCTTCCCAAAGTGCTGGGATGACAGGCGTGAGCCTCCCCACCCAGTCATGTTCTAATGATCAATCAACACCTGCGCGTGTACCAAGGAACTCAAGTCCAGATGATGCCACTCCCCAGGGCGGACACGGTGACAGGGGCCACCAGCCGTGTCCCTGCTTAATGATGCTGCCATGAAGGGACCACCTCCCTGCCCAGCGCCTCTGGCAACTCAGGACCCCAGGATTTGGGTGGGTGGACAGTTCCTACCCTGGCAGAGACAAGGCACCAACACCCATGTGTGGAAGGAAGGAGATAGTACACCCGTGGGCTGTGGGCCCACCTCTGCCTCCTGCTCAATTGTGCCTTTCCAGCTGAGTCCTGTGGGTAACCTCCCCCTCCCATGTCCTGTAGGTGACCCATTCCCGTGTCTTGTGGGTGACCAATGTACTGCAGGCGACCCGCTCCCCACAAGATGGGGCAAGACTGGTCCCAAGGCAGAGCCGTGAGGGACCCTGTGCCTCTTACCTGACAGGTGTGTGCATTTCTTCCTGCCAGTGGCATGGGCGTCCCTTCCCAACCCTAGGGAAACCGAGGCACAGAACCCAATCCCCCAAGACAAGGGCAGATTCTCCCCCAGAGGTCTCCGGCTCAAGGCTCCTGCCTAGTCCACTCAGGCTGCCTTAACACAATGCCACACACCACATGGCTTCACAACGACAGACATTTCCTTCTCACAGGCCTGGAGTCTGGGAGGACCCACTTTCTAGTTCATAGACAATGTCTTCTTGCTATGTCCCTGCACAGCAGAAGGGCCAGGGCGCTTCACAGGGCCTCTTTATGAGGGCACAGATCCCATCCATGAAGGCTCCACCCTTGTGACCTCAGCACCTCCCAGGCCTCTCCTGACTCTATCACCTGGGGGGGGGGTCACAAACACCCAGGCCACAGCAGCCCCTTCCAAGCAGGTCTGTGACATGCATGACTCAAAGCCTATGACTAGACTTCGAAACCCCCACACTGCCAGTGAAAGATGGTTGTTGGTTGGTCTGCCTGAGTTGAGGTCTCACTCTTGCCTCGCCTGGAGCGCAGTGGTACAATCATGGCTCACCACAGCCTCAAATCTGGGCTCAAGCAATCCTACTACCTCAGCCTCCCAAAATACTGGAATTGTAGGTGTGAGCCACCGTGCCCAGCCTAGAAAGATGGTTTTCTTTTTTCAAAATGCCATTGTGCCAACCAGGAACAATTTTACTAGAAGCAAATAAATCCTTGACATTTACACACACATAGTAATACAAATCGCAGCCATATACACATGTCTAGGAAGTGAGGTACACTGCCGGGATGCTGGCCGATGGTCTTTGGGTTTCCCTTCACCCATGTATTACGGCGAGTGGACCCCAGAGATGTGACAGGCCGTGTGTGCAAAAATTCAGCACTGACAGAATCCCATCCTCTACAGGCTTCTGTTCCCTAGATACCAGAAAAAGATGATTGCCACTCAACCCAGCTGTAGCTTGTGCCCCACGGGATGAGAACTACACCTTCTAGAACAGAGGCTCCCAACCCCTGGGCCATGGTACTGGCCCGTGGCCTGTTAGGAACCGGTCACACAGCAGGAGGTGGGAGGTGAGAGGTGAATGGGTGAGCAAAGCTTCATCTGTTTACCACTGCTCCCCCCCATCACCTGCATGACCACCTGAGCTCCATCTTCTGTCAGACCAGTGGTGGCATTAGATTCTTATGGGAGCATGTTCCCTACTATGAATTGCACATGCGAGGGGTCTAGGTTGTAGCTTCTAATGAAAATCTAATGCCTGATGACCCACCCACCTCATCTGTGGAAAAACTGTCTTCCACAAAATCGGTCCCTGATGTCAAAAAGGTTGGGGACCACTGTTCAGGAAGAGTCACCTTAGGAACCTGGTGACTGTAATGATGTGCCAAAGAATAGGGCAGGGATGTCGTGGAGCCCAACCTGTTAATGAAGCACTAATCAATACTCCTTTTATTACCAATAGCAAATCAACGAATACATTGACATCGCAGGCCTTGGCCCAGTGCCCGGCCCATGTGCCTCGGAGTGTGTCTCTCCCTCTGGAAGCCAGTGGGCTCCAATCTGGCAGTTCTGAATGTCACAACCAAGAGTTCATGGAAAGCCCAGGCTTTTCCATGCCCGGCCCCTACGTTGGCAGCAGGTTGGACCTGGAAGGTACTCTGAGCTGTCAGAGTCACCGCGTCAGAAACAAGGACAGGAGTCGGCCCCAGGCCAGATGGAGGAGAGCCAGGGTGGCGAGTGTCTGACACACAGGGTCCTGTCTGGTCCTAGAAGCAGAGGCCCGTTGAGCCAGCAGCTGGCTGCCCCTGCTACAGAGACCACTCAGCACTCGAGGGACAGCCTTCCCTTCCCTGCATGCCAAGGCAGTTTCTGGGAGCCCAGGGAGGCCCTGCCCACATCCTGCTCAGCCCCTGCCGAGACCTGGATGAGGGGCCCTCCCACACCTTGAGGGCAGCAGGTTCAACCCAATATGGAGTCCCAGAGAATGCCCCATGTTGTGGGGCTCTGATCATGCAGTCTTTGGGTGGGTCTGCGCAGTCTCTGAAATGACTTCAATTTCTCTGCATGAAGCCGGGAGCAGTGGCTCATGCCTATCATCCCAGCACTTTGGGAGGCCAAGGTGGGAGGATGGTTTGAGTCCAGGAGTTCGAGACCAGCCCGGGCCACATAGCTAGACCTCATCTCTATAATAAATCAAAAAATTATTCAGACATAGTGGCATGTGTCTATAGTCCCAGTTACCTGGGAGGTGAGGCAGGAGGATGACTTGAACCCGGGAGGTTAAGGCTGTGGTGAGCCGTGATCATGCCACTGCCCTCCAGCCTGGGCAATAGAGCGAGACTTTGAAAAGAAAAACCATTATCTGCATGAGACCCCGCCAGGCAGAGGGTCCCCGGCTTTCATCAGATCTTCAGAGGGTCTGAACACAGCTGCCCTTGGGTGGACAACGGACATACAGCTGGAGTGTCCCGGGGGTAGAATGGCTCGGCCATGCTGCGGCATTCAGACTGCACATCCTCAATTCCTGCCCAAGAGGCCACAGGGGCTCTGAGGCCTCTGGAAGCCAAGGCAAGCAGGGACACCCCACCTGCCCTGGTGAGACCTTCTGGAACAATGATCCCAGCGTGTGGTTTGTGAGGTTATGTCCCACCACCACAGTTTCCAGGAGAGGATGGAACCCTGCTTCCTACTCCCTTTCTCCCCCTGCCTCCCTGCCCAGACTGTGTCCATGGCATATCTCGCCCCTCCGCCCCACGAAGCAAATGGGAGGCTCCCCTAAAGGGGCTGCAGTCTGGTTCTCCCGTCTTCATTGTGATAATGCCACCACCAGCAGTTCCCTAGTGTCACGCATGTTCCCATGCCTCCGTTCACACGTGTGTAAGAGGAAGTTGCCATACCAACCCCGAAACCAAACAAGACGAGCACGCTCCATGTAGAAGACGTGCTTGAGCCTGCAGGAGTTACTTTTCCTTTCTTTTCTTTCTTTCTTTTTTTTTGAGTAGGAGTATCATTCTGTTGCCCAGGCTGGAGTGCAGTGGCATACTCATGGCCACCCCAGAATATACCTGCTGGGCTCCGGTGATCCTTCTGCCTCAGCCTTTCAAGTAGCCGGAATTATAGGCGCGCAACACCATGTCCGGCTAGTTTCTTGTTTATTGTAGAGATGAGGTCTCGCCAGGTTGCCTGGGCTGTGTCAAACCCGCGGGCTCAGGAAATCCATTTGCCTCGGCCTCCCAAAGTGCTGGGATTACAGGCTGAGCCACCAAGCCTGGCCTCTTTTATTTTCATTTTATTGATTCATCTTTGAGTCAGAGTCTCACTCTGTTACCCAGGCTGGAGTGCAGTGGCACTATCACAGCTCCCCACAGCCTCGATCTCCTGGACTCAGGCAATCCTTCTGCCTCAGCCTCTCAAGTAGCTGGGACTACAAGTGAGCGCCACTGCACCTGGTTGATTTTTAAAAAAACTTTTTTTTTTTTTTTTAGAGATCGGGGTCTTGCTATGCTGCCCAGGCTGGTCTTGAACTCCCCAGCTCAAGTGAT